TAGTATTTTTTTTTTAAGCAAATTGACTTCCAGACGTGCCTAAAGAATGAATGACTCAATAAACTACCTAGTCCCAGTCTACTTATTATATGTGATTAAGAATTATTCTCAGGGCAAGGCATACAATCAATAAACATAAAAAGAAATAGAAATTGAAATACTGATTCCTGGATCATAACTTGAAGAAGGGGGAAAGTTTCATATCACTACTTAATTACACATAGAGTTGACCATTCCAGCTAAAATTTACATGTGGCAATATTATTTTATTTTTTATATTTTTACCACAGAGTACCACACTGTAATTTGCACCGGCTAGAGTGCAGTGGCGTCAGCCATGCTCCAACAACCCATCAAACCCTGGGCTTCAAGGCATTCTCCTGCAACACCATCCTTGAGAGAGCTGGAACTAGGCATGCACCGTGCAGGCATTTCTATATTTTATTGTATGGACATATTCTTCATATATAAGGACAAGATTCTCTCTTGCCCTTAGGCTGAGGTCCTCACCTCCTGCCGCTCAAGCAACTTCACTCAGCTCCAAGTGCTAGGTCAGGTGTGGCACACATGCCAGCATATCTATTAATTAATATGCTAATAATGTTTGTATATTGGTATTGGTACATTAATTATTTGGTAGCCGTCATTGGAGACAAACACATTTATATAAAAATTTTTAAACAAATAAATTTTTAAATGTGAAGTTGAATCATATATAATGTTTTTAGAGAAGCACAAAAAAAATGAACATAAGAAAGCTGAGATGGTGACTCATGCTCCGTGTAATCCCGCTACTCGGAGCCTGAAGCAGAGGATTGCTTGAAGCCAGAGTTTTAGACCAGCCCCCAAACAAACCATAGGCCAGATCCCATTCCGAAAAATACAATATACTGTCTTGGCCTGGCTTGGCAGCTACTCGGGAAGCTGAGGCAAGTGGATGACTCAGACCCAGCCCTGGAAATATAGCTAACCATCTCAATTATTTAAAAATACAAATATATTATTTTAAAAATTTGGTCAGAAATGTGAAATGGGAGATCAAGTCCTTATTATTTAAGAAAATTTTTTACAGTCTTTTTAAGATGGATTGTGAGATACCAGTCACATTATGGATATAGGTACTGGAATATTTCAAAGACTTGAAAGTACAATGTTATCTGTAACATATTAATAATAAAAGTTAATAATCCATATAAACATAATTTGGATACCTCCAGTTTGACCAATAACTTAAATCTTTAATAACAATAAAATTTTATAAATGTTTTGAAATTGAATTCATTTATTAATTTTTTAGAGGAAGCACAAAAAAATGAACATTAAAGACTTGAGAATGAGTGACTCCACTCCTGTAATCCCAGCCTTACCCTCAGGGAGGCTGAGGCAGGAGGATTGCTTGAGGCCAGGATTTGAAAGACCACCTTTTAATGTTAACTTAAATAAATATTAATGTTATAAAATGTAACTTAAATATCCAAGGATTTATTATAAGGTTTCAGAAGTATTTAAGTGGGTATCTTGAATAAATCTTTAAAGATATTTGTAGCCACATCCAGCTGACAAGAGGTACCAGAATTGCCAAATTTTGAAGGAATTTTCTTGCCTTAGGTCTTGCAAAGTACAGTGTTGGTATTAGGGGAACTAAAAAAGTGCCTCGTAAAGTTATGCCTAGCTGTCTTGCATGCTCCACTTCAGTCCAGCCCTGACTGATAAGATTCAACATAAGGAAACTAGCTTGTGAAAAACTGCTTAGAAAAAAATTTTTCACAGTAATCGATCATCACTGCTTTAATTTGTATGTTTTAGGGTGGGATTAAAACTAGCCTAGAAATCAAAATGCCCTGGACGTGCTTGCCAAATTACTGAAATGTGCTATAGTCCAGCCCTCCAACGGTCTGAGTGACAGTGAACTGGCCCCCCCTGTTTAAAAAGTTTGAGGACCCCTGGCTTAAACTCTTAATTCCAGATGGATTATTGAGTTGAACTGTGTAATGGTATGGTAAGTGTAGTCATAACATAAGAAGTGCAGACAAAATGAAAGTCTTGTGTTTTGTCTTACTTAATCTGATAAATTATTGGCCATAACTATGCCCAATCTAAGCTGTCTCTTTAAGTAATGCTCAGACTTTCTTATTTCTTCTTAATCCTATTCCACCTATCCCCATTGTTTCCTTTTTTTTTTTTTTTGAGACAGAGTCTCAACTCTGTTGCCCCAGGTAGAGTGCAATGGTGCCATTATAGTCCACTTCAACTTCAAACTCCTGGGCTAAAGCCTCCTGCCTTGGCCTCCCTAGTAGCTGGGATTACTAATGTGCCACACAACCACAACTGGCAATTTTTTTCTGTTTTGGGTAGAGATGGGGTCATGCTCTTGCTCATGTTGGTCTTGAACTCCTGACCTCAAGCTGTCCTCCTCCCTCTGCCTTCCATAGTGCTAGGGTTACAAGCATGAGCCACCACGCCCAGCCCATTGTTTGATTTTCATAGATGGCATCTAGGATATATTGAAGGTGAGAGGGATTACTTGACCTGATAGTGACAGTAAAGGGATCATCATATCTGTATAATTGTGATAGTGTCCTGGGTTCTTGCTCTTGGCAGCCATGGAGTGGTTTATCTGTCACCTTAGGGAATTTGGCATCCTGTTGGTATCTATTGCTAATACCAGCAGACATACACTACTGTAGTGGATGAACTTATGGTTTGTTCTTTTTTTAATTGATAAGAGCCATGTGGCTCTTTTCTGCTCCAGCTACCTTTACCCTGGCCTTACTGAGTTCTTGAGCCCTCTGAGAGTCTGCTACAAGTTCTCTGTGACCCTTGGCCTACAAGATTCACTGTAATTATCCTCTGCTATTGTAGGATCACCCTACCCTGCCAGTAAGGCTCTGTGGCAGGCACATTAGCTCTAAACTCCATCTGTGACGTGGGAACTGTGGGAGATTCAGGAGTGCAGATTATCTCAAGGGACAGATTTTCCATCTTCCTTCTTTCTATCCAGACCCTAATCTCTGCCAGGACAGACAGATGCCTTTTGTTGACTAATGAGAGAGCTTACAGTGGAAAAGATAAAAGAGAAAAGAATATTTAATAATTTTCAAATAACTCCTGTTATTAATAGCAGTTAAAGAAATCAAGGAAAATATTGATAGAATTGACCTAGATGAAAATTATCCACTTAGAAAGTTAAAAACAGGCCGGGCGTGGTGGCTCACACCTATAATCCTAGCACTCTGGGAGCCCGAGGCAGAAGGATCACTCAAGGTCAGGAGTTCGAAACCAGCCTGAGCAAGGGCAAGACCCCGTCTCTACTATAAATAGAAATAAATTAATTGCCAACTAATATATAGAAAAAATTAGCCGGCATGGTGGGCATGCCTGTAGTCCAGCTACTTGGGAGGCGAGGCAGACCAGGAGTTTGAGGTTGCTGTGAGCTAGGCTGGCGCCATGGCTCTCACTCCAGCCTGGGCAACAAAGCGAGACTCTGTCTCAAAAAAAAAAAAAGAAAAAGTTAAATGTAGAGTGGACCCAGCAATTCCACTCCTAGGTAATCTTTAGAGAAAGGAAAACATGTGTATATAAAAACTGATAAATAAATGTTCATGGCAGCATTATTCCTAATAGTTAAAAAGTGGGAACAACCCAAAATGTCAGTAAGCTAATGAGTAAACAAAATGTGTTTTATTCATATAATGGAACATTATTTGCCAATAAAAAGAAATGGAATACTAATACATGTTACAATATCAATGAACTTTGAAAATGTTATAATGATAAGTTAAAGAAGCCAGTCACAAAAGATCACTTATCACTAATGTGTCCCGAATAGGCAAATCCACAGAGATAGAAATTAGATTAGTGGTTTCTAGGAGCTGGGGCTGGGAGGGGAAATGGAGAGTGACTGCAGATAAATATGGAGTTTCTTTTTAGGGTGATGAAAATGTTCTCAAATTAGATAGTGGTTATAGTTGCACAGGTCTGTGAATATACTAAAATGTAAGTTGTACACTTTAAAAGGGTGAATTTTATGGCAGATAAATTATATATCTCAATAAAGTTTTTGTTAAAACAAAGAGAATAATTTGAATAGCACTCACCTTCTTGTCTTGTAACTTATGATGGAATAAGCATCATTTCTATGCCTTGGAGAATTGTCATACTCCTTGTGAGTTTGGATCAGCTTCTAGCATTTTGTATTTTGGGCTTTCAGTGTCATTAAATACTCAGAGTTCCTTTACTGTTAAGCTTTTGCCAGCATCACTTCTTTTTGGGTAGCTTATCCTTTTTGTCATTTACCACTTTTATCATTTATGTTGATAATTTGCCTTCACAGAGTTCCTATGCCTTCATATCTATAGAGTCTTTAACGTTGGCAATATCAACCTGACAACCAGTCAGCTTTCTTCTATATGTTCTATTTTAATTTCATTTCCAGCACTATCACTTTTCTTTGGTGTGCTTTTATCAGTTTTGTTGGCCTTGTTTGATTATTTATTTTGTAAATTGTCATGTGGATTTATCACTGGAAGACATGGATGCAATAGAACTGCACACTTTGCTGTCTGTGGGTGAACTGAATAAACAGATGACTGGTAGATTTTGAAAGAAGTATTGTGGTTAGTCACGGATCATGATGTGCTTCTGTTATTTTTGTTAAGATTTGTGGAATGAGGTGCTAGAAGTAAAGTTTGTACTTTATGCAATTACATTTATTATATAGTGGCAACTGAAAGTTGAGCTGTGTTATTGGGGAATCGGTATTATTTAACTATATTGTGGTAACTGAAAGTCATGCATTCTGCAATTGTGCAAAACGGACTGCTTGTATTATCCTATTTAGTTTCTAAGAATAAATATCAGACTATAAACATTCTAATAAATAAGAGAAAGAGGACAAATTTTCTATTAAAACATCTTAAGACTTAGTTTTGCAGTAAAATTTTTCCTAGTAGTATAACAGATTATGTATTTACTACCTCTTCTGTCTTTGGTTTTTGTAGGAAGTTGGTATGCCAGCAGATTATGTAAATAAGCTTGCTAGAATGTTTCAGGACATAAAAGTATCTGAAGATTTGAACCAAGCTTTTAAAGAAATGCACAAAAATAATAAATTGGCTTTACCAGGTATTATTTTATAATTACATATGTGTATATATTTTTAAACTTTTAAGAAAAGACTATCTTTGTTTTCTTTTAAGTTAAAAGTAAATGTCAGCGGTAATAGATCCAAAGATGTTATGAAGTCCGTATTCGTTGGAGATAGCTATCAAAGCAGAATGTTAGATTTACAGATTCTTATTTTGAAATAAAAGGAAACTTTTATTTTTGAGACAGTCTTGCTCTGTTGCCTGGGCTAGAGTGCCGTGGCATCAGCCTAGCTCACAGCAATCTCAAACTCCTGGGTTCAAGTAATCCTCCTGTGTCAGCCTCCCAAGTAACTGGGACTGTCAGCGCACACACCACCATTTTTTCTATTTTTAGTTAAGATGGGGTCTCGCTCTTGCTCAGGCTGATCTTGAACTAAGCTCAAGTGATCCTCCTCCCTCTGCCTCCCAGAGTGCTAGGATTACAGGCGTGAGCCACCTCACCTGGCCCCAAAAGGAAACTTCTAATAATAAAATCTTTACAGTCTTATTTTTTGCCAAAGCTTACCCTGTATTATTTATTTTTAATTGTATCCATTGTTAACATTATTTACTTTATATTTTATATTTCCTGTTATTCTTGCCTATAGCTGATTCAGTTAATATAAAAATTCTGAATGCTGGTGCCTGGTCAAGAAGTTCTGAGAAAGTCTTTGTCTCACTTCCTACTGAACTGGAGGACTTGATACCTGAAGTAGAAGAATTCTACAAAAAAAATCATAGTGGTAGAAAATTACATTGGCATCATCTCATGTCAAATGGAATTGTAAGTAGATGGTGTGTTAGTTCAGCTATTAATTTGAGTGATATTAGCAGGACTCCAAATAAGAGTTACTTAAACAAAATATATTTTGCTTCTCTCGCATGTAAAAATTTGAGCAGAATAGTGAATCTGTTCTATCAATTTGTTGGGGACATAGGCTTCTTGCTATACAATCATGGTTAAGGTATTGCCCTTGTCTGCAGAATCCAATATGATCCCCACTATGTCATTCTTCCTGCCAAAAGGAAGGGAAGGAAGGAAGAGGGCACATGCACCTTCCTTTAAAGGCAACTTCTAGAAGTTTCCCCCACCACTTCCATTGGTCAGAACTCAGTCAAATGGCCACATTTTGTTACAGGGAAAGCTGGTATTCTGAGTAGTCATTAAGGTCTATTAAAATTTTATTATTGTGAAATAAGAGATAGATCAATATTGGAAGACAACTAGCAGTGTTTTTCACATATTACCTCTTGTCATAGATATTATATTAGATGGTAATCATCATGAAGAGATTCTCAATTATTAAAAACCTATTTTATCTATTGTAGATAACATTTAAGAATGAAGTAGGTCAATATGATTTGGAGGTAACCACGTTTCAGCTGGCTGTATTGTTTGCATGGAACCAAAGACCTAGAGAGAAAATCAGCTTTGAAAATCTGAAACTTGCAACTGAACTCCCTGATGCTGAGCTCAGAAGGACTTTATGGGTTGGTTGGTTTGTTTTATGTTTTTTGTTCTTAAAATTGTATCCTCTCACATAGGAAATATGTGATTGGCTTGTAAATACACATTTTTGAATTCCTAACAGTCTCAAAATGACTTATAACTCAGAAGACTACACGAATGAGGTACTTATGGAAAAAAGACATTGAAAATAGACAAGTTACCAAGACAAAGAAAGGACCCCCAAAAAGGAGAGAAAGGTTGACTTGGTATTTAGATGTTACCCATAAGGAATGTGACCAAAGACATGTATTTAATTTTTATACTGAGAGTGTGTTCAAAATTTTATGATGACCAAAAATCTAAGAGTTAGAAAAATTTGGCTTCCTACTCATAACTACATTTTACCTCTACTCCATAGACTTCTTGAAAGTTTCAAAATAAATTATTACCTATGGAGGAAATAGTCCTATATGACCAATTGCAATATCTTGTCTTACTGTAGAGAGAGCATTTATTGCTTCCTCATAACTCATTCTTTTCTCCTCCTCCTCCTCTGTTCATTATGCATTTATATTGTTATAGTCACAGAAGTACCAAATAAATATTCTGAATTTGTGTTTATAATTCTTTCTTGCCTATGTTGGACAATTAATATTAGCATCTTAGACTGTTTATCAATGCTAATTGTTTTCTCTTTGTTCTCAGTCTTTAGTAGCTTTCCCAAAGCTCAAACGGCAAGTTTTATTGTATGAACCTCAAGTTAACTCACCCAAAGACTTTACAGAAGGTACCCTCTTTTCAGTGAACCAGGAGTTCAGTTTAATGTAAGCTTTATATGTTGGTTGATCTAAAGTAAAAATAACTTGTTTGAATTTTAGTGCTTTGTTTTTAGCAAAACAATTACTTTCCTTACATAGTATTTAAAATATAACTGTATACTGTCATCGCTCTAAAGTTTGTCATTTAGTTGTTTTGAAAATATTAATGAATTGGAGATGTTTACTTCTTCACTGTACTTTCATGGATACATTTTTTGGTGTCTGACATTATAGTGTATTGCTTTTCATTTTTGAAGTAAACATCCTTTCCACTGAACTTCATCCAGGCAAAGCATTGTTTTCGTAAGATCCAGTTAGATGATAATGCTGAATCATACTTCATATATCTTCAATTAGCTAATGACTTTCATGGCAATATAAATTATATTTAGTTATTACAGTGAGTATAGTTACTTATATTTTGTTAATAGAGGCTGTATCGTGTTTAAAGGAAATGATAGAGTTTGTTTTAAAGCTGTATGTTGATGATTTGTCACTTTTCCTTTAAACAGTTCTGGATACTTTTAGAATATTTCTAAATCTTTTTGCTCAGACATTGTTGCATTATTAATATGACACTTTAAAGCCCTTTCCCTGTGAAATACTTGATTCATTTCTTTGTAGAAAAAATGCAAAAGTTCAGAAAAGGGGTAAAATCAACTTGATTGGACGCTTGCAGCTCACTACAGAAAGGATGAGAGAAGAAGAGAATGAAGGAATAGTTCAACTAAGAATATTAAGAACCCAGGTTTGTAATACTAAAGAATGTTTAAATTTTGAAAAACTTTGGGGTTTTTCTTCCCAAGCCGTTTTTGAATTTAAAAGCATGTAGGTATTCAGCCTTTTTTAAAAAATGAGCTAATTTTTATTTTATTGGAATTTAAAAATTATATAGATATAAATCTCTTAGCTGCTGAAAAAGATACTTGTTTGGCTTGGTGGTCTCCAGTAGATTCTATTCTATTGGTTGGGTAAAACTTTGGTTTTTGGTTTTAGGTTATGTCTCCTTTTGACCCTACCTGAATACATATATCTCAGCAACAAATTAAATTGTAGGATTGAAGTATTTAAAATTGTATTCCATTGTAATGTGAAATTAGGAAACTTATTTTTATTTAGAACCAAAGAAGTTCTCTAATAACCATTCTTTCTCTTAAAAATAGTTTAAAGCTGAGCATGGTAGCCAACACCTATAATCCCAGCACTTTGGAAGGCTGGGGCAAAAAGATGGCTTGAGGCCAAGAGTTTGAGACCAACCTGGACAACATAGTGAGGCCCTTAAATATTTAGAAAATAGTTTAAAGCTAGAATTATGATACCTTCTAAACATGGTAAAAAAAACTAATTTAAATTAATGTATGATTGTTTTAACTTTAGAAATAGTTTCTGTGGTTTTTTTCCTTTTTTTAATAAAATTTTTTTGTATTTCAGCATATTATGGGGATACAAATGTTTAGGTTACACCTGTGTGTGTGTTGCCTTTCTCCCGCTTCCCCCCCTGGAGTCAGAGCTTCAAACGTGTCTTTTTTTAATCAAGACAGAGTCTCATTCTGTTGCCCAGGCTGGAGTACGTTGACACCATCGTAACTCACTGCAGCCTCAAACTCCTGGGCTCAAGCGATTCTCCCACCTTAGCCTCAGTAGCTGGGACTATAGGCACGTGCCACCATGCCCAGATAATTTTTAAATTTTGTATAGAGACAGGATCTCACTGTCTTGCTCAGGCTGATCTCAAACTCCAGGGCTCAAACAGTCCTCCCACATCCACCTCCCAAAGTTCTGGGGTTATAGATGTGAGCCACCATGCTCAGCCTAGAAATAGTTTTTTTAAAACCAAGTTTTTCGACTTTTTAAATTTAATATTGATTGCCTCTCTGCACTAAATCAGTTTGTGTTTGAAATGGTGCACTAAAATATGAAATGAGGAAAAGATTAAAATTTTTTATTACTTATAGATCATATAATATGACAAAGTAGCAGAGAAAGGATGACTAAATGAAAGGTAATTGCATTTCCATGCAGCAATAAATAAGGGGAAAATAAAATGAGAAACTATAAAATTCATTGACTTTTTTTTTTTAAGTACTGTGTAGGACCAGTATAAAGAGAGTGGGGCCCTTTACTGAGAAATTCAAAATGAGATTTGAATAAATAGATTGAGCTCTTTTTTTGTTGTTAAAATTTGGGTTATAATTTACATACAGTGGAATGCACATTGCAAAGCGAAATTCTCAGTGAGTTGTGACAAATGTATATACCTGTGTGACCATCACCCCAATTAAAGATACAAAACATAAAAAAAAGGATATAAAACATTTCTATCATTCTAATATAATTTCCCCATGTCTCCTATCCAACCAGTTTTCCCTTTTACACCAGCTGATTCTTAGCATCATTGATTGGTATTGCTAGTTCTAGGTCTTCATATAAATGAAGTCAGACAGTATGTACTCTTATGTCTAGCTTTGTGAGATACTATATTCTTTCATGATAAAGCTGAGTAACTTAAAAAGTCAATTTTTCCCATATTAATACCCAGTTCACTAAATTTCATTTAAAAATTCAACCAGATTTGCCACTGTACACAATTTTTAAAAATTCAAGTATTTAAAAAATATTTTGAATTTTAAAAATTCAAAATATTTTTGAAATTTTAAAAATTGATTCTCAGTTTTATCAGAATAATAGATGAGAGCAAATGAGGAACTTAGAAAAATAAGAATAAGGTGTTGGTGTGGTGGAACTTGCCTTGCCAGATGTTAAAATATACTAAAATATCTACAAAAATAAAATGGTGTGTCAAGAAGATTAATTGAAGAAAACAACTAGAATTAAACCTCACCCCATGGTGCTTGTCATAGCACCATATCACTAACTTATACAATAAAGGAAGTAATTTCCATGACCCATTGAAAGGAAATGAATTAATAAGAGGTGTTGGGAAATTTTACTGTTTGGGTGGAAAAATCAGGATATAGTCATAGTTTAAGCCAGGCGTCCTTAAACTACAGCCCGAGGACCACATGTGGGTGTTTTTGCCCGTTTGCTTTTTTGGATTTTTTAAAATTTTTTTATTTTTTTTGAGACAGAGTCTCATTTTGTTGCCCAGGCTAGAGTGAGTGCCGTGGCATCAACCTAGCTCACAGCAACCTCAATCTCCTGGGCTCAAGTGATCCTTCTGTCTCAGCCTCCCGAGTAGCTGGGACTACAGGCACAAAAAAAAAAACAAAGAGTGCTGCATCCATAACACAAAAAAAAAAACAAAGAGTGCTGCATCCATAAC